CCAGAATCCAAATTTTTGGCTTTGGCAAGAGGCTCTATCCGGACCGCTCGATCAACATCGTTAGCTCGGAATTTCTTACCATCCATCCATTCAAGCAACTTCATTATAAAATTAAATGTAAATGAAAACCCAATCAAATTAGCATAAAGACCAAGTGTGATAAGTGACTGCAAGTTTATAATGTTTAAGGGTGTACCAACATCGGTGCCCTAAAACAGTCAAATAAACGAATTGAAATATGCTCGATAGCTATGAGAACTATGTTCATGAATTGTACCAAACATAAAAAAGTTTGTTTGCATGTTCATTTACATTGATATTGCACAACTTGTTGTTGTGGTTTGCATGCTATTGTTTGATGTGAACCTTACTCCTACTATTATGGTTATTAGTCATTTTGGCTGCTTTATTTTCTCAAATATAATATAGCCTATAAATACCTTATTGATAAGAATTCCTTATCAATAAGTAACAAAGTATGTATTCAAAATTCAAATATTGTATTCATATTATTCATATATTGACTCAACCTAAGCTGAGGAATTAATATCCCTGCAATGGCCTTGGGCATCACCACGAACGCGCAACGCGCGTTACGTAACTAGTACTCAAAATAAAATAAAATCAAGGCCGAATTCATGATTCCCAGAGCCCGTTTGGCAGCATGAAAATCGGCTGTTTTGGCTGATTCTGCTGAAATTTATGAATTTCTGGCTGAAGTGGCTGCATTGGCTGATTCTGCTGAAATTTATGAAGTTCTGGCTGAAGTGGCTGCATTGGCTGATTCTACTGATACAAGAAAAAAAAAATTAAAATATATTTTATTAATAAAATAAAGAAAAAATTATATGTAAAAATAGCTAAAATGGTCATCTACAGTAACTTCAGCCAATAAAGCCAGAAAAGTAACTCCAACCTTACTTTTTCGGCTTATTACATGATTAACTCCGCCATTTTGGGTTTCCACTAACCTTTGCTTCTTGTTCTCCACACTGGAAGTCTGGAATCCCACTGTACTTAAGAACTCCAAGCTGCTTCCTTTTTCTTTATTTCTGTGGACCTCATAATTAGAGACGGATCCAATATTTCGAGTCAAAGGGGCGAAATTTTTTATGTTAGTGTAGTGGGTGAATTTTTTTCGCTAGTGTAGTGGAGCGAACCTAGTCATGTAGTAGGGCGATTTTTTTCAATAGTGTAGTGCCTTGCGGCTAATTTTTATTCAAAAAAAAATCATAGGTACATACATGATGACATTTAAATATATTACATTCTAAGTTTAGAAAATGGAAAAATAACTTAGATTTTATAATTGTAAGTGTTTTAAAAGAAAGTATTGATAAATTAAAGCGTAAGAAATAGCATATCAAAGAAAAATTATTTGAAAATAAAAGAGGATATATAACATTTTATCCAACTATTTGAATGTAAAGAGTTAAAAGGTGCACAACCCATCAATGCTTTTTAAATAACTCTTGACATGTTTAATTACATGAATCTTATCGATACAAGGAATTGATTTTTGAATAGCAAATTTTGTTTACCAAGAAGGGTGTTCGTAAGTCATGAGGAGTTTTGCTAATATTACGATACTATATTTGAGATTATTATTTTTAGAATAATATTATATTGCTAATTCTTATATATGGTGCATATTAAATTTGTATTGATGCATAAAATAAGTTAAACTTTATTATCTATGCAATAAATTATTTTTACAAATTAAGAAGTAAATGAAATGTGTAATTTTAGATCCACTTCAAATGATCTAAGAACTATTTAACTTGGATGTTTTTACTTGGACTGTGATTCCTCCCAGACCAGTTCAGACCAGACCAAACTTGGATAGTTAAAAATACAGAGAAACTAGACCAGACCAGACCAGCAAATTCAAGTCCAAGTAAAAACATCATGTGTCTCGTATTTAATATTGTTTGATATTTTTAAAATCGAGTACTAATTATCTAATAAATTAAAGATAATCAAACATTTTAAAACTATGATTTTTTATATAATAGGTAGGGAAAACTGTCAAATAGGTCCTCGAACTTTCATAAAAAAATCAATTAAGTCCTTCTATAGAAGACTTTGTCCGGTCGTCACGATATGGGGCGGTTTCAATGGAATTTTTTGATGGAATTTTTTGAGCATCTTATTCATCAAGTCTAGTTTACTCATACCAAATTTCAGCTAAAAATTCAATCGGGAACACATTCAAATTAATTCTTGAAGATAACTGCGCATTTTTGCGTTCTCGAATTAATTTGAATGCGCTCCTGTTTAAATTTTTAGCTGAAATTTTGTATGAGTAAACTAGACTTGATGAATAAGATGTTCAAAAAATTTCATCAAATAATTCCATCGGGAACCGCCTCATATCCTAAGTCTTAAACGATGAGTTGTTCAATTATTTATTTGTTTAAGTTATGTAAATTATTTTAGATGTTTCGTATTTTCTCTCCAATTAAGTATTACATAATGTAAAGATATAAATTAATTTTGAAAACTAAAAACTAAGGGGAGCGAGCACATATATCTAATTAAAGTATAAAAACTTTATGAAAATATTACATATATATTAGAAAAATTTGAAAGTCCAAGGGGGGCGACCGCCCCCACGCCCCCTTTAAATCTCAGATTATACGGTGCAACCGGCGCACCATGAGGATGGTGTGTCCGGTTGCAAAACGACGCAGTAGTGGCCTGGTTCCATTATTTTTTATTGATTTTGTTGTTAAAAAACTGTAATAACTTTTTTATTTTTGATCCGATTTTTAAATTTATATCAACATTTTTTATTTTTTATTATCTTTCAAATGTGACCAATATTGCTTATGTAATTTTAAGAAATTATCGAACTATTGTATTAATGAGTATTGGATAATAAGGAAAATTGAACTAAATTTAATATAGAAAATTAATTGTGTAAATCACAATTTATCTTAAAATTGTGTATATAAAAAATTTATTGTATTATGTATTTATTCATGTGAGTTACATATTTTTATACGTAAAGTTACATATTTTTACATGTAAAGTTACATATTTATACACACGAGTTGCATTTGGCTTGCCTCAACGCGAGTTACATATTTTTACACGTAAAGTTACATATTTTTACGCACGGGAAAAACATTTGGTGCATATATTTTAAATTATTCATAAACTAATTAAATTTTAAAATAAAATAAGTTTTTGAGATTTAGGTTTTATAAAAATAGGAGCACATGGGAGAGGGTTTCGTGCTCAGAAGAGGACAGAGGGTTTAAATTCTTTCATTTTTTGTTTTTTTCAATTATAAACAACTCCTATATGAGCAATTAAAAGTAAAAACCTAAATCACTTTTACTACGGCTTTCTTATTACCGACGTCATAGGAAAACATAAAAGTCACCCGCGAGCTTACTACTACCTCTAAACGAAAAAACTGAAATATTACCACGTCGGTTTTAAATAAAACCGTCGTGAAAAATAAATTCATTACCTATTAGGACTGTTTTTCAAAAACCAACGTTAAAGAGGCTACACAGTATGTCATTCGTGCACTAGTGACAATAAGCTAATATCATTAAGTATAAGCTCATGTAATAAATATTATATGAAGAGAGCATTAAAGAATTTTTTTCGACACCACTCATTAGAATTTGTTACTAATTAGTTTTTATGATTGAATTAATTTTAGAACTAAACATTATTCTAAAAAAGTGAGCACAATATGTGAGTGTCATAAGCCAACACAGTAAATATTAAAAGTAACAATTATTAGTGAAATACTCCCTCTGAATTATCTTTCGAATATGATTTTGTACATGGATTAAGATAGTGATAATTGTGTGATGAAGAATTGTATAGAGGAGAGATTAATGTGTAAACATGTGTAAGAAACACTGCAGACCCATGAATTCGTTGTCGAAAAGGGAAAGAAAATTATTTTGGAATGAACGGAAAAATAAAAATGTAGAAGATCAAGGGAAGAGGAAGTATTAAACTTAACTTCACTTTATTCTGAGTTTTTTTTTCTATCACCTTTTCTTATTCCTTTTTAATTTTTTCCTTTTCTGTTTTCTGGTTAAAAAATTGAATAATGTGATTTTCATAATCATTTAACTAACTGAGAAGAAAATAAATAAAAAACCCATAGAACTTTAAATCAATTTCAAAATGGCTACTAACCATAATTGACCACAAAAAAGAATTACTCCATTTCATGTTCTAAAATATTCCAAATGGTATGTTGGCATTAATTATAGTCTCAAGTATGAAATTATGGTATGTTGACATTAATAATAGTCTCAATTATGGTGCGAGTTTAATGAAAATGTGAACTAATAAAAATGATAATTTCATACTCTCAAGTTACAAGAGGTTCATTGCTTGAATGAGTAGTGTGAAATAATTATAACCTTGGATTGGAGCATAAAGCCATTCATAATCTCGGGCTTGATGACCTCAAATTCTACTTCAATCATTCTTATATTAACCTCCTTAATTTGATGATGTTTTGGGTTCAAGTTTAATTTTTTTATTTAGGCTTTCAACGTAAATCCTAAGACTTTGTGTCTGAATTTTATTATTGTCCCATATGTCAGAATATTCTCCATTTTATTAAGACTTAGTTTTTTCATTCTAGTTAAAGGTTCCTTTAACTTGTCTCTGGTCTATCAGTGAGTCTGATATCTAAATTAGTTTTTTATTTTCTATTTTTCGTTTTATAATAAGGATGATAACTATTTTCAAAAAAAATAAGGATGATAACTTATGTTTTTCTTCTTCCTAGATATATGGTCATTGTATAGAACTAATAATTTCATAAACATTCTCTCCAACCATTTTTGTATTTTCCTAATATAAATTAGAATGTTTTAAAAATAAATCAGAATTGTCTTTGATTTTTTTTCATATCTAAAAGATGCAAAATGCAACACACTGAGCATCCTCCAAATAGAATGGCTGCAATGAACAACTAAACAATCTATTTTTAATAACGTACACATTGGGAATGTTCAGACAATTTAGAGACGAAATCAAGGAAAAACCTAATGGAAATAGAAATCAAATAAATTAGATACAATCACATGATAAAATCGAAAGTTGTGGTATAGATGCTCACACAGCTAAATTGTAAAATATGAACAGAAAATGTAATTCATGTTTTATATATAAGAGGTAAATAACACGAACATCATTGGACAGAATTGCATGGAGCATTACATTTAAACTGTTTGTAAGAATGGAAGTCGCGATTTGACGTGCTTTGGCAGACTTTCAGGGGATTGAGCGGGGATTGACGTGCTTTAACCAAGTTTTAAACATTGCAAGATAGGTTGATCTTCTATAGCCTTAAAAAGTGATTTGTAGTTCAGGCTGAGGTGCAACTCAGGGTGTTGATGCAATACATGTAATATGACCATCAACTCAGAGATGATGGTGCATATATACCTCTTAGGTCTTACATATATGCTAGGAGAGATGAAGTAAAATTAGCTTGGATGCATCTGCAACTCAAAATTGAAGTTAGAAATATAAATATTTCACACTACTCATTCAAGCAATAGACATTTTGAGAGGGCACAAAAATATCTTTCGAGTAACTTAGATAAACTGCAAAAATGTAAAACTACAAAAGTTAATATTGGAAAAACTGAAAAAGTACATAGATGCACTACTGAGAATTTGTCAAACATGTCCCTCATAAAACAAAAAAAGGGTAGGGAAGTAGTTTGATGAGTAACTAAATTATCAAAACCTCACATGTTTTGCATACTTCATCACACATAAACTATAAACGGTTGTCATTGCTAGCATATCAAACATTTATAGAAAAAAAAGAAGATGAGAAAAGGAAGGGAAAAAAAAGTAATTTGCTGTGTGTTTGCTTGAAAGAGGAAACTCTTCACGGTAATGATAAAAGACCTAAAAAATAAATCTTTGTTAAAAAAATCATAAATGGTGAGAATGAAATTGTGTGTGGATCACAGTACCTTTACACATGCAGGAGACTTTACCTCTAATTTCTTACAACACCCAAAGCAAGTGCAAATTGACATGAACTTGTGGTTTTGCTTTTTGTTTGACGTCTGAAAAGTACAGAGGCATCAACACAGTGACCAATGCCCAGAAAGTCTAAATCTAAGGGCTATAATGAATTGCAAATAAAATTTAAAAAAAAAAACTCTTTGACATACATAATGACAAATAAGTAAAAGACTCTAGTTTCAGGTATTAGAAACTAAAAAATATAAGTGAAAGATCTAGTGGAGGAACTTGTGGATCGCATTACCAAAGCAAGTGCAAATTGATAGTAGCAAAGGATGAAGTGCATACCTATGAATATGTGTTCGGAGAAACAAAGTCCAAATTGCTTTGATTCAATTATGACGAATGGGTGTAGATATTACTTTTAAATCATGTTAGATGAATAAATTAATTAACTTAAGTTGCATGCGAGATATTCCATGCGATTTTATGCACATTTGGAAAGTACATGATTTGACTCATACCTAGAAAGAAGTATGAACACGGTTTGAAAGAGATGTGGTTGGAATGAAAGAAAGTGCATAAATGAAAACTTTTGAACAGATAAATCTACATTACTTGAACATTCAGGACGAACGGACAGTGTAGGTACGAAGTTTAGAAAGCACATATGATATATTTGAAATGTACATATGAGAAGTGAAGACAATGGAAATTGTTTTTTAAATTCAGAACAAAAATAAATTTCAAGTGAAGAATCTGAACTAAAGAGTCAAACTTATTGAAACCCCAATTGAAGGAAATTGTAAGCAGCATTACCGTTTAGCAGTTTGCAAGAAAGTAATTTGCGATTTGATGTGCTTGGGTAGTCGTCACATGTTGAGCGGCTATAATGTTGTACAGGTTATTAGATTCGTGCGATAAGGGAAAATAATGATGGTTCAAAAAAAGTGGCAATTTGGGGAAACATCGGGAATTATTTAGTGGGACATAACATTTAAATCTGGACTTAGTGTTTTACACGATAGTCACCATTAAATGCCTGGTATGACACATATTTTGGTTATCTCAATGACATGGTCATAATCAAAGTAGAAGCCCATATATTCTGCTCTTTATACTTCTTTGATCTTTTAGCTTCGTAAGATGCGTTATATTCATTGTACATGTATTCATTCTAAGCCCCTTTGTATGTGAGAGTATAATCTATGCTAAAATAAGTATACATGAGTAGCATGTCCAACAATGTTAGTTCAGCAAATGAATAAATGTAAACGTTTAATTTCCCCAAATAACTTTTATGAGTAGTGGCCAAGAGACGCAACTCATCACTGGAATAGTTTTGAAGTATCAGAACAATATTGAGGACGAACTGAGAGCTTATCCACCTTTTTTGTTGCTGCACTTTTAATGCTTTATTTGAGTTTTATGTTGCAATTGAAATCAATTAAGTAGCTATTAAACTTACTTTGGAGGATAAGAACATTATTTAGTAATAGGTTCCTATTAAAGGCTCCTACAATGCACACATTAGATTGACATATAGTTTGGTTGTTTCAGAATGATCAACATGCTTTAATGAAGTAAAAATATAACAATTAGAAAAAGTGAAAGAGGAAAAACAGAAACAGAACATATATTGGTGTTATCTCTATGAAGACGATTTAAATCTTTTTGCTTCTTTAACCTTTTAGCTAAATATGGGATGTCAAGTAATTTATAAATTCATCTTTAATCTATTTCACCGAACTTTCTGTAACTGTGCACTTGACTTGTGCTAGAACTTGTGTGAAAATGATGAACAGGTTCATTTTAAGAACAAATTAATATTATTAAGTCAGTGACTATAAACTTACTTAAGACTGGATGAAGCGGGGCATGTTGAGTGACAATAAGAGTGCCCATTACTTTCCAAATCTGCAAATAAAGAGTTAATTAAGGAGCTTAGAATTACCTTGTGAGGTAGAATGTTCAGAAAGTTTTAGTATGAAAATTCATATTTGGGTTTCAATTAATATCTAATGAGTTTCGAATTCAAAAAGCACATGGGGATATAGAAAAATTCAAATGACAGGCATCGCGAGAAACCTATAATTGACTACATTGACTAAATTAGAAAACTTATGAGAGGATTGAAAACACAAATCGGCTAAAATTGTCTAAAGTTACTAAAAACCGCAGACATTGTTCATTGGCTACTAATTTCCTGAAATGAACATTTCATTGAACAACTTATATGCTTTGGTAGACCTAAAACTCATGTAAAAATGGAGAAAAATTAGCAACAACTATAACTTAATTTTCCGTCTACTGTAACAACTACATTTATCACTTCTTACAATGAATTGGTTTATTCGTGTCAGATAGTCTCATTAATTTTTCAAAAGAATTTCAAGCTATTACTTTCTTTTGGCAAGGTTTGATTCATACATGGTTTTCATGAATGAAATTGAATTCCTTTTGACCAAGTAGACTATGTTTTGGTTAATGGAAAGAAGTGTCTATACTTGTCCAGTTGAAACCAAGGTTTGCTACTAATTAATTAGCAGTAAACATTGTTTATCCATATGAGATGATAAAAGCCAAGCTAGAAATGCCATATGAGGTTGTCTTGCGGTTTTCAAAAGAACTTTTAAAAATCAAAGTTCTTTTGATGATTATAGAAGACATTATCATCTAAACTAAAAAACTAAAACTGATAGGCTGAATTATAAAACACCTTATATGTTTTACCTTACATGCTTTCGTGCACATGCACCTAAAAGTCATGTAAAAACAGATAAATAAATACATCGCCAAATACTAAACGCGAAAAAGTGAATACAACAATAAAAGTGTGTCACATAATTCAACTCAATACCTCTAAGGTTATCCGGAAAAATGAATCAGGCAATAATTAAAAATGTGTAGAAAGATGATGGAATTAGCAGAAGAGGCAGCGTAACTGTGTTATTAGAGAGGCAATAGATGAGAGATGAGAGACCCTATTGTACATGGCAAGCTGTAGCGGTATATTAGCCAATTTGTTCAGAATTTTTCAGAGAAGAAAACGCTTAGGATTTTGAAGAAGAAGATTAGAACAAAGTGATATCACCCTAACCACAATCTTCCATGTCTCCTTTGCATCATTGATGATTGATCTCTTCAATTGCGTTTATCTTGTGTGCCATATCGAAGGGTCTAAAAAAACACCACACGGTTATATTGAAGACTATAGACGTTTGAAACTGAATCTGTCAATTTGTATTGATATTAGCAAATCAATTAAATTCTTATTATCCTGATGTAAAAGTTGTAAGACAGAAACTATCATTTCCAGGAAAATTGAAGTATTGGACGTCTTGGAACTCAGGTAGTTGAAATGAGATATACTATATTTCTTTTACGGATCTTTTAAGAGTTTTAAAAATAAAATACAAAATACCTAAACACGAAACGAACCAACACATCTGCTAGGTTATGAAAAATTTTCAGAAAAGTACACCCCTCCAACTTGTTTAGGTTTTCATGATTGTGCTATCCCTTCAGAAAACAAACAACATTTTGCAGAATGTACTATTATTAAAGGAGCGCAATAACCTACTTTCCCGATTTAGAGTTTATAAGACAGACATTATCACTCCCAGGAAAGTGAGAGAGATGTGTTATACATGGTAAGCCTAGCTGTATATCCCAATCTCAGCCAATCTGTTCTGGAATTTCCGGAGAAGAAAAATCTAGAGGTTCGGGCTTGTCTATTCAAATTACAATTATACCCTCCATCTCAATGTGGCTGATAGAGTTTGGTTTCTGTTTTTTTAGAACTACAGTTTTACATCTACTCTAGTTATTTCTGTCTGACAGAATCTATGAAGAAAATTCTGCATTTTTCTTCTCTTGCATAAACTACTGAATTTGAAGTTTTGATTAAAGTTATGGGTGCGGAATTTTATGTTTTGATTAAGTGAATGGCAATGAAAGAGCCAACAGAGTCTTTGTTGCCATTCTTATTGAAGCTTTGGTCTATTCAAGCTTTGGTTTATTAAAGTTGGCCTTTCCGAAAGTAAATGTGGTAACAGACTATTTTTGTTTTTAACTGCATTTCATTCAAAACCTAAACAATCAACATGAAATTAAAAATAAATGATAAGAGCTCAAATGTCCTTGTTATCTTCAATTATAAGACTATTTGGGTTCTCTTCTACTATTTGTGTTTGTTTTTCATGTTGAAGTTTTCCATTATGATTCCTATTCAGCGTTCCTTAAAAAAAGCAAATGAAAAGAAACAGAAACAAAAGGCATTATACTTTTGGGTAGAGTAACTACTCAAAAGAGAAACACAGAAAATGCATTGATTTTTTATAGAAAAGTGATGAATATGTAGACTTCTCCATGTCTCATACTATTACATAGCTACTTAACAACAGTAATACACAACACTTGACAATAGTAACACTTTAGTTATAATTCAGAAACAGCGCATTATGCACAATTAAAGTAATATAGGATCACTTCTAAATGTGTTTAAGAAAGTTTAAAAGAAAGTATGAGAATGACTAATACACTAATTATCTGGTATACATTATACAGTCTTATAAACTTGAGAAAGGTTCTTAATTATAGCCCTATAGGTTCTTAAGAAGGTTGTTATAACCTTATAAAATTGAGAAAGGTTCTTATAAAAAAGCAGGCACATGGAATTTTAGTTCATCTCTACAAAAACAAAACACACTCTGTTATTTTCATGATAAGTGAATCTATTCACCTATGTATATTGACTAACATGTTCAAACAAAATAGGCATTAAATGCAATTTTTCTTCTCTTGCAGAGCTGGGATGCAATTCTTCAGACCTATGTGTACTATCCTTTAGCTTTAGATCCACCAATAGTATCTAAAAAGTATTAGGTATATGTTGAGTGTTCAGATTAGAATTATGCAAGCAACGTTGATGTGTTTTCCTAAATGGGGATTGCTTTAGTACATTCCTAAATGGGGATTGCTTTAGAGCTATTTAAATCTTTATATTTAAAAAACAGACATATTGGATCTTAGTTTATTTCTACAAAAGCAAAACATATTTGGGAGTATGAAGCACTACAATGCTAAACTATCTTAGTTAATGGTTAAATAAAAGATACATTGATAGCAAAACATATTTGGGAGTATAAAGGAGCCCAATAACCTATTGAAGGAATTAAAATTGCTCCTCACCACTGACATCCTTATTATTAGTTATTATGTAAAACTTTAGTTCTGAGAAACATAAAAACCAGTTCAAACAAAATAGGCAGTAACCAAGCAAATTATAGTAGTTTAGATTAACTCAGCCAGAAATATGAGTGACATACACATGTAAGCATTTAATCAAGCATCACATGTGAAAAATATAATCAAAGCTGGACTGAAACTGTATTCACATAGAATCGTGAAACATATCATTTTCATTTCATTTTCATTTACCCCAGTGCCGCAAAGGCTCCCCCCTACGGTGGGGTAAGGGGGGGTCGGATGTACGCAGTCTTACCCCTGTACTAAAGCACATAGAGACTGTTTCCGGATGACCCATAGTGAAAATCGCGTCCAAAATTGCATGGACTGACTGCTTCTCCATAACAAAGAATCGCAGACAGTTTAGTGAGCCATTTTGCTTTATTCCATCATAATCTCAAGCCAAAAAATAATGAATCTTTGGCTCCATTGCAAATGATGGAAATAAATCGTGAAACATATGAAATCAAGAATTAGAGGAGCACCTATGCTACTTGGGCACCCAATATTTTGTGCTTGAAAAGAAAACCTGAGACAAAAATAAACATAAAACTTAAAAGCAACAATATTGTTTTAAGAAATTTGGCATTCGAATATCTCAAAATATCATCTTGTGCAGTAGAATTCTTTCATAAAGCTAAGGCAATATATTACATAATAGGGTATTAGATTAGAGAACGGAGAATGTAGAGATAGTACCTCTGCTACTCGGGCAGTGAAAGTATGAAGCCCTAATGTCGATATGCATCTGTATATGGTGGCGGTGTAATTTGGAGGTCTCCTAGTTTCTGTGAAGAGCCGGGCACATACGATTAGAGATGGAGAATTCTAATGTAAGCAAATAGCGTTCAAGTCGCAGGGCGAGATGCGTTAAGATTGCTGGGGTGATGAATGTGCAGATATCTGTGGAGGAATTATCGGAGAAGAAAGTGGCGAGCTATTTTATCGTATGTTCAGGAGGAATATCTATATGCGCAGGAGGAGGGGAGTGATTTTAATAGGTGAGTTTTTTTCTTCTCAACGAAGCCACGTGGAGTGCCGAGAGAAGCATAGTGAAATAAGGACAGGAGGACACGTTGGATTCTTAGAGGGCATATTTGTACTTTGAACAGCCATTTCTTTTCTTATATATAAATAGAATAGAATCCATATGAGATGATAAAAGCCAAGCTAGAAATGCCATATGAGGTTGTCTTGCGGTTTTCAAAAGAACTTTTAAAAATCAAAGTTCTTTTGATGATTATAGAAGACATTATCATCTAAACTAAAAAACTAAAACTGATAGGCTGAATTATAAAACACCTTATATGTTTTACCTTACATGCTTTCGTGCACATGCACCTAAAAGTCATGTAATAACAGATAAATAAATACATCGCCAAATACTAAACGCGAAAAAGTGAATACAACAATAAAAGTGTGTCACATAATTCAACTCAATACCTCTAAGGTTATCCGGAAAAATGAATCAGGCAATAATTAAAAATGTGTAGAAAGATGATGGAATTAGCAGAAGAGGCAGCGTAACTGTGTTATTAGAGAGGCAATAGATGAGAGATGAGAGACCCTATTGTACATGGCAAGCTGTAGCGGTATATTAGCCAATTTGTTCAGAATTTTTCAGAGAAGAAAACGCTTAGGATTTTGAAGAAGAAGATTAGAACAAAGTGATATCACCCTAACCACAATCTTCCATGTCTCCTTTGCATCATTGATGATTGATCTCTTCAATTGCGTTTATCTTGTGTGCCATATCGAAGGGTCTAAAAAAACACCACACGATTATATTGAAGACTATAGACGTTTGAAACCGAATCTGTCAATTTGTATTGATATTAGCAAATCAATTAAATTCTTATTATCCTGATGTAAAAGTTGTAAGACAGAAACTATCATTTCCAGGAAAATTGAAGTATCGGACGTCTTGGAACTCAGGTAGTTGAAATGAGATATACTATATTTCTTTTACGGATCTTTTACGGATATTTTGTCGACCAGAGATTGTCGAGCTGATAATGAAAAAAGCATTAACATGACCTTACTTTTTCCGATGAATATCTTTTTCTCTCTTTCTTTTACAAACTGTTGTTCTTTGTAGTTGATTTGCTATTAATGCTTATACTAGAAGTAGTCTTATTTAGTTTTTCCGTCTACAGAGAGAAATCAGATTTATTAATTGCTTCTAATTTAATCACGGCATTAGTTGTAGGCGTGCAATTTCCCAGAACATAGCTAAGAAACTACTTAAGTTTGGGAAATAAGTTTAAAAGTACCTTGGTTTGGGAAAAAAATACCCCTATTTGGGAAATAAGTTTAAAAGTACCTTGGTTTGGGAAATAAGTTTGAAAAACACCCCTCCATGGGAAAAAACACACCTATTAGCAGTACCGGAATAATATACCCGAACCGATAATTCGGTTTACCAAATTATCAGAACCGAAACCGAACCGTACTACAAACGGGTACCGATTTTTGGTACCCGATTTTTTCGGTTCGGTTTACCAGAAACCGAAAGAAACCGACAAAAGTGTAATAAATAAGTTTGAACTAACATTCAATTGACTAAAGCCCATTGAAACTTGCCAATATTTGAGCCCGATTAGCACAATGGAAGCCCAGAACGTAACTTAGCTTCCTAGAACATATCTTGACATTCTACACTAAGGGGACCTTATTTATATTGAAGCTTTGGAGTAGGATGTCTCTCATTTTCCGGTGTGGGACAAGATTAAAGAGAATAGGAAAAGAAGCTGAAAAAACAAAAAAATAACCCAACTGCTGGAATCAACCACGCGACGTAAGGGAGAGGACAAGGGCTGGATAACCAACTCGGCTACTCTTCAAGCACGTTCAAATCATACTCGGTTTAGTATTATACCTTCAATAAACGTCATTAATTACTATTGTTATTATAAATAACAATTATTATTATTAATATAAAAATGTCGGTTCGGTTCGGTACGAACCGATATTTTGTGCACATAAACTGAACCCGAACCAATTTTTTTCGGGTCCCGATTATTGGGACCCAATTTCGTTTGGTTCGGTCCGGTTCGGTTTTTTATAAAGCGATTCGGTTATTTTCGGTTCGGTTTCGGTTTTTCGGTTCAAAATGCCAGCCCTAATTAGCACTACTTCATGGAGACATTAACTACTACTGCAATGCCCTATCCTAGAGAGCCTGCTAACTATGAAGAGGTATCAATGCAGCAGAGTGTCCTGTTTGCCGACAGCCTTAATGTATTGTCATGTCCCAGGTTAATGTTTGTAGAAGTTGTATAACAGAATTGACCACTCCATTCCTTGTTTTAATCATTATTGTTCCAGGTTAATGTTTGCAGAAGTTGTATATAGAATACTCAGTGAATATGATCACAAAAATATATTCATTATTTTTCAATAAGCCGATTTGTGCTACCAAACACGTCCTAAAACAGCACATGCCTGTGAAAGACAATTTGATTGTAATAACTAAAAGAAAAGAGCTTCTATTTCAGTACTTGAAGGGTCTCAGAAAGTAGACGAACTCTTTGAATATTTTCTGCTGCAAAAAAATATTAAAAATAATACTCTTTGATGCGGTTCAGAACCGCAACCATAAGTCAAAAATTAATTTTTTTTGGAATACTATTTGATGAGGTTCAGAACCACAACAATAAATGAAAATTCATTTTTTTTAAATAGCAATTTGCAGTTCTTAACCACAACAAATACGTTTTCTTACATTTTGCTGCTCCACCTAGAGGTGGACTCGGGGTGGGCCGGGTCTAGGTCGGGCCTAATCCCAGGCGGGCCAACTTTGGGGATAGATGGACCCGAGACTGGCTGGGTACCCACCTGGTTGGGTCCGGGCCGGACCTCGGCCAACTTTTTTTTTCTTTTCCTAATTAACCCGCTCTCACACCCAACCCCCCAAACCACCCAGATGACCCTAAACACTCAGCCCAACCTAGAAAAATCAAAAAAAAAGAAAGAAAAAAAAAGACCCAGAACCAGGCCAGGCAGGGCCAGTTCATCATTTGGGGGACCAAAGCCCGCACCGTAAAACCACCCAGCTCAACTGGACGGGCCTCGGTTCAAGGTATGGGAGGCCCGGAACCGGCCCGGGTAACCCCCGGGTCCGGGCCGAGCCGGGCCTCGGTTATATTTTTTTTTTTTTTGGTTTTTCCTAGTTAACCCACAACCCTCCCCCTCACCCCCAAACCAACCCTAACCACCTCAAATGGCCCAAAATACCGAGTCCAACCCAAACACTTAAAAAAAATTCAAAAAAAAATTGCCCCGACCCGAATCGACCGGGCCGGTTCACCTTTTGAAGGCCCGAGCCCGATCCGAGATCCCACTGAGCCGGGTGGCCCGAACCGGCCAACCAACCGGTTCACCGGGCCGGTCCGATTCCAGGCCCGAGTCCACCCCTAAGCTCAAGTCCATCCATGGCTCCACCAATTGCTGCAGTTCAAAACCGCAACAATTATCTAAAAATGACCTTAACAAATAGATATTTTTCTAGTAATGTGTGATTGTTATTAATTGGGTAAATAGTGAGTGATGCAAAATCGAATTGCAACAATATAAATATTACCAAATAGGGCACTAGTTTGATACAAAGATACAAACTCGGTAGGACAGAATAAAAAGATAAAACGAGACAGAAAAGGGATGGCAGGAGAAATTGATTATTTCAACTATCGATTACAATCAAAGCTAAACCAGTTTCTGATTGGCTAAAGTTTGTTGAAAAGTTGTTCGGAAAACACATTTTTCTTTAATCGCAGCATTAATTTGACTGGTTGACTTTTGCATGGTAAAATAGTTATGGAATCTGCTTCCAAAAAGTTGTTGGTGAGGAAAGGCAACTTATCTACAGACAACGGCTGAAATTTCTACCAAAACAGCTGGTTTTTAACTTTAATCAATTATTCTAATTTCCAAACATGTTGGTTTTAAAAAAACCAGCATTTCTTAAATTACAATACAAAATGTAATTTTCCGATCATTGTGGTTTTAGAAACTCAGTATAGATCACATACAAGTGAAAGCGTATGACTAGCTTATGACTAAAAATAGAATAGTAAGCAGCTTTTGACTAGCTTATTTAGCTAATGGTTGTTCAAACTTTCTTTTTAGACGAAAAAACAGGCACACTAGGTAACCTCAGCCAAAAATAAATCTAGCCAAATTGGCACTTATACATAGGGTAAAATCTATCAATATCAATTCAACTATTTGGATTTTGATACCCAATCATGGTTTGGTGAAGCAGTACCCTTGAGCCTCTGAATGCAGCTTCAATGCGGCTCCACACATTGTATACCTACAAACATGGGGAAATGTAAATTAGAAAAGGGAATAAATATTCAGAAAGTATTGATGACTTTTATAATAGATTAATATAAAACATAAGAAACACAAATGGAATAAACAAGAAAAAAAGATGCATATGCACAGTTTGGTTTAGAAAATTACTCAAGTTTGCATCCATCACTAGCAAGAACAATACTCCCGCTCTAACCCAACCTGCACAGTGAAAAAAAAGGTAAAGTAAATAATCTTAAACAAAACAGTGTAATTTAAAAAGAGTAACTTACAAAATCTTATGCCCTCAAATATTCAACCAATTCATTATGCCGATTAAGAAGTGTGTGGTTACCTCTCCCAAGTGATGGCTCATTATAAAACCAGTGAATGCAATCCATTTGATCGTAACTTAGATTATTAATATTGGTAACATTGTCAGGAATCAGGTCTATGGGAGGGATTGAACCTACAGAATATAAAATTTGATCAAAAGCGAAGTTTGGAGTAGAGTGTGAGACAGGATGGCCGACCATGATTTTGCAAACAGGGCGGAGGTTGTGAAGCATAGTGGCATTGGAAGCACGAGCACGGGCAGCTTTGACTTTAGCACCAAACATTAGGAACTCATTTCGCACGAGCCCTAATGGTGCCTCAATTTGGGCCTGCCCTTGGATCATTTGTGTCTGCACTTCTTCCTTCCACTCGATAACTTGGGCCTGCACCTCTGCCTGCAACTGGGCCAATTGGGTCTGCATGAGATCCTGTCTCTGGGTGATTTGAGATTGCATGCTGCTGATCTAGGTTTGAAGTTGGGCTAACAGTGTTTGCAAGTCTACATTGGGGTTAAGGTCTTGAGACTGAGATGTAGACGAAGTGAAAGAGAGTAGATCGTTGTTGTCTTGATGCTTTTGGCCTTCGTAAGATTACCTAGGAGTTCTGGAGTTTATACCCGAGGCGGTGCCATAATTGTTGGCTACCTTTTGTCCTTCATCTTAAGGCCGAGGCGATGCCACAATTGTTGGCTGCTTTTTGTCCTTCATTTTGAGGCCGAGGCAATGCCATAATTGTCGGCTACCTTTTGTCCTTCATTTTGAGGCCGAGGCGGTGTCATAATTGTTGGCTGCCTTTTGTCCTGCATCTCGAGGCTGAGGCGGTGCCACAATTGTTGGTTGCCTTTTGTCCTTCATTTCGAGGCCGATGAATGTCTTCATTTTGAGGACAAGGAACGTCCTTCATTTCGAGGACGAGGAGTGCCCTTCAATTTGAGAGGACAACGGTGCTGACGAACCATGCATCACCAAAGGGCGACGGTGATCCAAGGGCAGGCTCTCATGCAGACCCAATTGGACCAATTGCATCACCAAAGATGCAGGACCAAGTTATCGAGTGGAAGGAAGAAGTGTAGACATAAATGATCCAAAGACAGACCCAAATCGAGGCCCAATTAGGGCTCGTGCGAATTGAGTTACTAGTGCTGGGTGCTGAAATCAAAGTTGCCCGTGTCCGTGCTTCTAATACCACTAGGCTTCAGAATCTCCGCCCTGTTTGCAAAATAATGATCGACCATTCTGCTCCACACCCTCCTCCAAACTTCGCATTTGATCAAATTTCATATCCTGTAGGTTCAATCCCTCCCATAGACCTGATCCCTAACAACGTTACCAATATTAATCATCTTAGTCACGATCAAATGAATTGCATTCACTGGTTTTATAGTGAGTCATCATTTGGAAAAAGTAACCACACACTTCTTCATCGGCATAATGAACTGGTTGAATATTTGAGGGCATAAGATTTGGTAAGGTACTCTTTTTAAATTAAACTATTTTGTTTAAGATGATTTACTTTACCTTTTTTTCACTGTGCAGGTTCGGATAAGAGCGAGAATATTATTCTTGCTAGTGATGGATGCAAACTTGAGTAATTTTCTAAACCAAACTGTGCATATACATCTTTTTTCTTGTTTATTTCATTTGTGTTTCTCATGTTTTATAATAATCTGTTATAAAAGTCATCAACACTTCCTGAATACTTATTCCCCTTTCTAATTTACATTTCCTCGTGTTTGTAGGCATATATTGTGTGGAGCCACATTGAAGCTGCATTCAGAAGCTCTAGAGGGTACTGTTTCATCAAACCATGATTGGGTATCAAAATCCAAATAGTTGAATTGATAGTGAGAGATTTTACCTTATGTGCAAGTGCCAGTTTGGCTAGATTTATTTTTGGTCGAGGTTACCTAGTGTGCCTGTTTTTTCGTCTAAAAAGAAAGTTTGAACATCCACTAGCTAAATAAGCTAGTCAAAAGCGGCTTACTATTCTATTTTTAGTCATAAGCTAGTCATACGCTTTCACTTGTCTGTGATCTATAATGAGTTATTAAAACCACAATGATCGTAAAATTAAATTTTGCATTGTAGTTTAAGAAATGCTGGTTTTTTTTAAAACCAACATGTTTGAAAATTGAAATAATTGATTAAAGTTAAAAACCAACTGTTTTGGTAGAAATTTCAGCCGTGGCTTGTAGATAAGTTGCCTTTCCTTACCAACTTTTTGAAGAAGATTCCATAACTATTTTACCATGCAAAAGTCAACCAGTCAAATTAATGCAGATATTAAAAAAAAATGGACCTCAAATAACTTCAGCCTGCACATGTGACTACAACTGGACCAATTGGGTCTCCATGAGGTCCTGTCTCTGGGTGATTTGAGATTGCATGAGATCTGTCTCTGGGTGATTTGGGAATGCATGCGGGTGATCTGGGTTTGAAGGTTGGCTAACAGTGTTTGCAAGTCTGCATTGGGGTTAGGGACTTGAGACTGAGAAAATTTGGAAACGACTTTGTGATGATGAGAAATCGACTAAGCCAATTCAGTGTCTGTGATGAGGTTTTGTTTATTTCGATGGAGATAGGGATGGACTCGGGCCGGGTGGCCCGACCCGGAACCGGCTCAGGACCGGTACTGTTCTCGCCCGGCCCGACCCGGTGGCCCGGTCAGTGACCGGTCCGGGTAGGCCCGACCCGTTGGTTTTCCGGTCCGGGCTTGGGTCACCCAAAACAAGGCCCGACCCGGCCGGGCCCGACCTGGCCGGGCCCGGTTCGGGCCAAAATCTATTTTTTTTCTTTTTTTTCAATTTTTTTTAAATTTTCGGGTTGGGCTGGGTATTTTGGGCCATTTGGGGTGGTTTGGGGGGTTGGGGGTGGGAGGGGGTTAATTAGGAAGAGGAAAACAAAAAAAAATATAACGGGCCCGGCCCGGACCCGGACCCGGTGGTTACCCGGGCCGGTCCCGGGTCCACCATTTCTAACCCGCCGGCCCGCCCGGGCCTAGGCCCGGCCCGGACCTGAGTCCATCCCTAACCCGGCATGGAGATGGTACAGAGATTTTAAATGATCGAAAGACTTAACCACATTTTCTGCAGTGGGTATTTGTGTTTCAGCTATAGTAGGTAGCCTTTCAGGCAGGATTTGGTTTAGAAGATCATGATTTAGTGGTGGAAGTTGATTTATAGTCTCCATGCTATTCTGAAAAAAATTCCTCACCAAGAGGAAAATAATATGTAATAAAATGAAAAAACAAAAGCTTGAAAAAAATACATCTAAATTACATAGACTCACTGATCTCTCAGTGATCTGATTTCCTAGAATATACTCTAACGTGGTACTTTTTCCTTTCGCATTAGATGAGTCTATAACTAACTGATCAAATATTGTTGAACATCATAGTAACTTTTAGTGGCAAACAGTTATTGGTAGTTTAATGAAAAATGACAATGCTGAACTATATATCTATGTATTATTCGAACTATTAAGCAGTTCAATGTTTCAAAACAATTAATGTGTGCAATGTATAATTATTTCAGCTGTACCCAATATTATTTATAATGTTGTTGCTACAAAAGAACTGCTACAATGCATAAATTACATCCATGACACAAAACCAGGTCATGTAAGAGTACCGATTTTAAATATATGGAGGCTCACAAAGTCCACAGTTAGCAACCGTAAAAAAGAAAACAAGGATCTAGCTAAAAAAGGTATTATGAAAACCACTGCTTTTAAGTTTAAAATCAAACATAAATGTATAAAAAAGTAAGGCATTTTTTATACATGATAGTATATTCATATACAATAACAACTATTTGGGGCAGTTATTAAGTGAGGGGGATATGTTAAAACAGATAGATTTAAGATATTGGTCTGAATAGGCAATGGCCTGCATCTAAGTAAAATAGGTCATAAGCAATGAGCTGCCAGACCTATGTTTGAGAAAAAAATCATTAAATACATAATCAGAGCATTTAATTTTGTTTTTCATGAAATAATTAGTAATTGGCCATCGGAACTTATGAATCATTCAATGTAAGGAAAAAGGCAGAGAGTACCTCTGTTACTTGGGTAGTTAGAGCATAAAAACCTATGTCGGGCATCTGTATATATAGTGACAGTAAAATATAGGAGCACTGAATCGGAGGGTTCCTACATTCGGTGAAAAGCTGGGTGAGGTAATGTTGCATACATAGAGAGGTGAAAAGGATCACCCACATCCCCCGAGCCCCTAGTACAAGTAAAATATGTTTAAGTGTACTCATTTTTCCTAGGATCAAAAGCCTACTCATTTTATCCTTCGCCTTGTGATTGTTGCGTTTCTGTTTGCCCTGGTGTATAATTGTAAAAAGGATGAAGTGATGAAAGTATATTTGTGATTAGTAAAATTAAACTTACTGTGTCTATATCTCCTGATTCTCTTCTGAAACCGCCTTTCTCATACCAGACACAAAGGAAATTTACTAAATTTGATTCATTAGCAACTTGTGTAATCCTATTATCATTAGATTTGAAATAGACATCAGGCAATAAAATATGTGACATCCAAACTCCCAATTCTGCCAGTGGATCAAAATTTACAATGAACTCCACTGACCAACTATTTGAGACTCAAGACAACCTAAGAAAGCGTCATGCCTAACCGCTCCCATCTGCAAAACAAACATCCAAAATAAAGTACCTGCTTCTTCTTTGATTTTTTCTCCTTCTCAGATGTGCCACGTTTTGTTTTCAGCTCAACTTCAGCCATCCATGCTGCCTCCTTCTCACGAATAAGTTCTTCTTGCCTTTTCAAAGCAACAGCCTCCTGATATGCAATCTCAATTTTACTGCAGAGATGAAAATAAGGTAACCATGAGGGATTCATGATTAAAATTATAAAACAATATATAAAGGATCATGATAAAAGCAACGCAAGGAAATAGAAATAGCATCACATCCAAAAAATGATTCAGTAAGGAACACCTCAGAATTAATCAAATGTTCAAATGAATTTTCAATGCAAAGTAAATAAAATTATTATGTAAAAACATTTTACTCTTAGAGTCTTCGAGAATGTAAATGTAAGAACATGAGCATAGCATTTGAAGAATACCAATGACAAAGGAATATTAGTATACCAGTAGCTACACACAGATCCATCGATTGGATTTTGTGGATCCATCAGACAAGAATAGGACACTCTACTTTATTCCATCGGAACGTTATGAACAAATTTCAACACTAACAGCTCTGTCATCCTCAACAATACCCAAAAGAACAAACAACGCACTTCATAAGACAACCACACACAATAAATGAGTTAAGACCAATTTCGAACAAAACAAGCAATCGCACAGAGAACTTCCCCCCACCCCCCCACCCCCCCATGAAATGAAATAGAAACCTAAGAGAACCAAAATAGGATAAGAAAACTTACTGGGGAAGCAATGATACTCGGGGCGACTTTCGGCGGAAGGATTATTGCGAACTCTGGATGGCTTCAGCGGAAGGATGTTGCTAACCCTAGACTATCAATTCGAATTCGAAGAGCGCAGAAAGGAAACGAAGTTATATCTGGCACCGAAAGGGCTGGATATTATCTAGCGGTGTCAAACCGAAGACTACAGTAGTAATGGCGAAAAGGATTTCCGTCGAGCACTGTTTTCACGGAATAGGACCAACTAACTTCCTTTCATCTTTTAATACTCCCTCCGTTCCCAAAAATATTCTCACTTTCCTTTTTGGACTGTTCCCAAAAATACTTCTCACTTTCCCATTTTGGACAATTTGTGTGGCTCACATTCATTTTACTTTTTTCTTACACAACCACAACCATACATTTCCACTTTATTCCACTTTCTTAATAAGTGTGTCAAGTCAAACTGGGAAGAATTTTTAGGAACAGAGGGAGTAGTATAGTAGGATATATATATATATATATATATATATATATATATATATATATATATATATATATATATATATATATATATATATATCATAAAAATGAATTCATCTCTCTTTTAAAATGCCTATACATCTTGAAAGTTGAAATTAATAAAATGGAAAAATGGACCGACAGTGACCGGCTGATTTTTGTGTCCCAAAAACATTAATAGGCAATGTTACCGATCCGAATTGGAAATAACAGTTATGTTCTAGTTCTTGGAATCGGTCGGCTCCGGTCCAAGACCGTGGACCGTGTCCATACCACCGTTATCTATGATGGTTACATTCACAATATTTATACACCAAATAATATCTCTGTCGATTTCATTTTCATTATTTTTAATTCTCTATAATACTACGCATAAGAATAATTATCAAATAAATTTTGACATATAAACACGCACTTGAATAAGAAAATCTAAATAAATAATACAAAACTTGTTATACATAATACACCAATCTTACATTTATTATATCATTAAGTTCATAATTAAAAGAAAATAAAATAATGGCTAAGATTATACAGTATATCTTTAACTCTTTATAAACATACGAGAATATATAAATATTTAATATTCTACGCCCAGCTTAAAATTTAACCCAATTCTATCATTTGCAATACAAATATTATCAACTTTACTTTATTCAATTTCCCAAAAAAAAAACTTTATTCAAATTACAAAAATTAAGGGAACCAATTTTTTTCCATACATGATATTTTCGAGTATTGTCTAGAAAAATATATGTATGTTTGTGTATGAATACAAACATACACGTATAAGTCATTGTCCATATTTAATTATTCTACTCGCATGTAATAATCACAATCCATCCTTTTTCTAACAAAAATAAAAATACATGCAGGAGTATATCTAATAGCAGTACTGTTTAGCATAATTGCTAATGTTTATCAATTTAGTTAGACAAATATTTATCAACACAACCCCGTCTAACTAATACTCTGTATCAATTACAATCACCTATTTTTATCAAAACCATTATTCTAAAGCATTTTCAAATTATATTTTTGATTTATTTAATTTCTAACTATTTACAACATGCTCCAATAAAAATTAAACCCGGAGTAAGAAGCTAATACTCACTGAACTTACCTTGTCAAGATGAAAATTGGTAGCAGTGGGTAGGCGTATACATTAATGTTCAAATGGAAGGCATTACTATAACCGTTGAACTCAAAAGCTGAAAATAACCTGTTGTGGGCTATGGTGCTTGTTGAAAACTTCAGTCAACGACTCAGCATTAGCTACCGCCGGCCTCCGCTACCTCTTTGAACTGCCGTCATTCCCTTCATTTTACTGGTTCCCCTCTGCCTCAATTCTGGCGCTATAGCTCTGCCGGCCACGGTAGCGGAAAAGGAAAGCTCCAGCCTCCGGGTCGGTCGTCGTCCCCAAGATCAGAAAATTTGTTGCCGAGATGCCTGGTCGCGAACAGTCTCAATTGGCCAGTACGGTGGATGCCGACATGCCACACTCCTAGCCAATAAACCACCGAATAGCCTGTTCTTTGCCTCCTCGACGCCATATCACTGCTTGCCCGACCGATTCTTACGCCAACCCACTAAATATACGCGATTGTCATGGAGAAGATTCGAATGAAATGGTTTTGTTTACGATTGACACAACAAACTAAAAGCTACAGTAGTTGGATATGGAGACTATAGGATGACTTTGACCCCATTCACCTTTATTCAAGGTGGAGGTTTAATATCCGTTGTGAAATTCATCTGTTTCACATTATTGTGATTGACAACCTTGAAAACTAGGAAAAGCATTTCAATATTTCCGAGGGCAACAACACTGCGCATGGTCCAAAAAGCTCCATTACCCCAATCCATTTCAGCCGGGTTTATTGGTGACCCGAATTTTGAACCGTATTTTTAGGCGGGAACATGACCTGATTTTCCACTTTGATTTGTATATAGTAAGATGATGTGATGTTGTTATGTATGTTTACTTACTGAGTATGGTGTGAACGATGTTCATGAACGCCTTGTGTGATTATGTGGGGTTGACTTGCGAGTGACGTCACTTAATCACACGGCGGTTGTACACACGCTTAGATGCGGTCTGGGGCGTGACAGACGGCGTTGGGGACGCTCATCTGATAATGATGATGAATCTGATGAAGTCCGTCTGAACATGCAGGACGGCGCTGGGCGCTCGTCTGAAGATGAAGGACAACGCATGACGCTCTTCCCCTGATGACGACGTCGCTGATGAAGCTGGTCGTCTGAAGATGAAGGACAGTGTTGGGACGTACGTCTGATGACGAGGACGGCACCGATGAGGTCGTCTGTAATTGGACGGTGTTTCGACACTCGTCTGAAGATGAGAGACGGCGCGGGGCGCTTGTCTGAAGTTTATGGACGGCGCTGATGACGCTCGTCTCCTGATGACGACGGCGCTAGCGAAGCCAGACGTCTGAAAATGAAGGACGGATTTGGGACGCACGTCCTTTGAGGATGACGGTGCTGAAGAGTCCGTCTGAAAATGAAGGACGTCGTTTGGATGGCGCTGGGCACTCGTCTGAAGATGGAGGACGGCGTTGGGCGATCGCCCCCTGATGATGACGGCGTTGGTGAAGTCGCTCGTCATATGAAAGACTTGGCTTTTATGTTGGTCTGAAGTTGGACGGCGCTAGACGCACGTCCTTTGATGACGACGGCGTTGATGAAACCGTTCGTCATATGAAGGACCAGGCTTTTCCCCTGGTTTGAAGATGAAGGGCAGCGTTGGGGACGCTCGTCCTTTTATGAAGGACAAGGCATCGGCACCTGCCTGAAGATGGACGGCGTTGGATGCTCGTCTGACCCGCATGTATTGTCTTGCTTCGTCCATAATACATTGTGTTTGCCTGATATGTACTTAGCGAAATACGTGGCTTTATTTGTGAGCAAACATCGGTAGCTTCTATTGGGGCTAGCCGGGCCGCATCTCGAGGTTCAAGGGGTGGAAGAGGAGGTCGTGAAGGTCGCGGAGGTCGTGGGGGCCATCTGTTAGCCGACTTGTGCTACCTTTAGTTTTTTATGTTTACAAATAATGAAGCTAATATGTGTGTTGAGATGTTTCAGGTTTACTCATTCAAGTCAATCCACTAAAAATAGTCTTTCTTGATAGCTAGAAAAGCCGTTTCATCAAGAATGTGTGGATTGCATATTAAAGGCTCTCAAAATCAATTTTATCACTTCAGATATATTGTTTATAACTAATCAAACATTTTACTTTTGCACAGCAGAGTCAAATTCATAAGTTTTCCCCAGCGGTTGAGTGCTTTTTCAAAATAGTTCACTAGTTTTCCTTCTCTGAGTTTCTCCCATTTTGAGTGAGCTGTCTTCAAGCTTTTCTCCATCCATTTGCAGCAACTTAACCTCGTTTTAAGTGCTCTAAATCCCTCTTAAATATGTGTTTGAATCGTGGTTAAAGTTCCCTAGAGTTCGGGCTTTTATCTGTCTTTTTCGGCAGCAAACTGCTCGAGGCAACTGCTGAGGGCGCTGCTGTTGAGCCAACTGCCGAGCCAACTGCCGAGCCCTCTGCCAAGCCAACTGCTAGTGAGCCAACTGCCGAGCCAACTGCTCCAGCCAAATTCTTTCAGCCAACTGCTCAATTCAACTTCTTCGAGCCAACTGCTGAGGCTACTGCTCCTAGCCCTCTGCCCTTAGCAGCCCGCTCCTTCCTTGAGGTTGTTCTCCTAGAAGTCTGCAACACTAATCTTTATTCAAAGTATTCTTTCCTTAGAAATCAGTCCAGACTTCAATCCAAATTGATTCTTAAGTTCAGTTGTTGGTCCCGGTTATACTGGATATAGTCTAGAGGGGGGTGAATAGACTGTATTGGTTTTTAGCTTTTTAAACTAAGTACCAGATTTACAGAATAGCTTGTTCTGTTTAAAGAACAGACTGACAGCGGATGGGGTTCTGGCAGGGAGTTCTGTTAGCCTCAGAGAAGCAAAGGCAGTAGGCCTTCTGTTAACTCGTAGAACAAGTTCTGCTGAACACAGATACCAAGTCCAAGGAGTTATACAGTTCTAACTAAGTGCAAGTATTAAAAGCAGTAAGTAAACGACACCAGGGATTTTTATAGTGGTTCAAGGAACAACTCGTTCCTCTAATCCACTGTTCCACTAAGCTGTAAAAACTGCCGTTTACAAAGTCTTAGTCCTAGCACTTAAGAAGCACTCCACGTCTTCTTCAAGCCTAGATGTGTCCTGGGATGCACTGCCTGGCTTCCTTTAACACTGGTCCTTTCACTGAGTTTCCTTGAAGTATCACCACTTCACTACTCCAGTTATTCGGACGTCCTTCTTGTAGCAAGAAGAGTTTCTGTTGAAACAGGGGTTCCTCCAACTAGCTTCGTTACAAACGATTTGTATGTGATGAGCTTGAAGAGTTGAAGAACACTTGGAACTTTGCTTGAGTTGGAAAAAGTATTTTTCCGACTTCTGCCTTCTCTTGTAGAGGATAATGAGTTTGAATCTCAAGGAGGCTTTTGCTTTTCAGAGTTTGAATATCTTGCTTGTAGCAATGTGATAGCAAAGTTGAATCAAGGTTGCAAAGTTGTCCGGTTGTTCTTCGTAGTGTATCTTTTATACTGAGGTTGTCTTCCCGTTGGAGGAGTAGGAGGACAACTGCATTTAATGCGCGAGCAGTTGACTTGACCAGTAGGACCCGGTAAAGTTGGCGGGTTACTATTTCGGGATAAAGTAATCCTGACATTGCGGCCAATCATCTGCAATTACTCCACGGAGCATGGGGAGCATTAAATGAGCATTTAATGCGAGCACTGTAGCTTTTCCGTTTCATACTCCTAGCCGTTGAAGGAATCTTTAAGTTGACTTCCCGGCTTT